GAATATGGGATTGTGCTGTGTATTGCAGATGAGGTGATGTGTGAAGGTTACCAGGATATACTTTAACACAATCAGACCTGACCCATGCATTCTGCTCATGTGGAAAATGGATGTCTGCTGACACCTCAGTTTTGACCCAGACAATCAATATGATGTGACTATGACCTTATAGTCATTTGACCAATGCATTGCCTGCACAGATTACTGATACAGGCTAACAAAACTAGGATTTGTGTAGTTTGCTACGATCAACCCACAGGCTAGGTTTAGTTTTAAACTGGCTATTAAAACCCCCATTATGATCGTCTTCGGTGTTATCATATTATCATTCAAACTATGCAAACTTTCCAAATCTTCTGACCGAAAACGCAAGAGGCTATGCTACTATCGCAAATGTTGGTAGACTGTAAGATTAACTGCTACAACAGTGCCACCATCTGGCATTGTATGTTCATTACATCCTTTTGAAGAAAATCCTGCCAAAATGTTGCACTCGTTGTGGAGTGCATGGGTAATCTGTTTATATGGTGGTGGTGTGCTTTTTACTTAATTAGATAGTTTGCCATTGGAAACTTGTGATGTGACCAGACTGACATTTTAAATAAATCATAAGAATAACAATAACAATAAACATGTCAGGATGGTATGCGTATAGCTTAATGGAATTGAATGTCATTCCTCATATCATACCCAATGCGATGTTCCCTTGAGCAAGAAATGTAACCCCCTAATATGCTCATTGGGCGCTGTATATCCCTCTGCTCAAGCCTCTCCAACCTAGTGTGTGTGTGTGTGTGTGTCGGAGTGGTTGGGGAAAAAAGCAGAAGACAAATTTCCATCTCATATGGACTAAATAAGTATATCTTATATTATCTTCTCAGATAAATGAAGTGCTCTGTTGTACACTCTTAGAGTTAATGTGACAAATGAGGTCATATCTTAAAATAACTTTAATTGAAAGAGCACCTTCCTAACAATAGTATAAGTGATTCTGAGATAAATGTAACTAAAAAAATACAATCATAATGTTCCACAGAGATAACCATGGTGTACAAACAGTTTTGTAGGCCTATATGTTATAACATAATCAGTGAACATTACATTATTGGTCTCCTGGACCTGAGCCCTGTTATGACAACATCCCTCAATCCCCGGACTATTAATTGAACCTGTCGCCACTAATAACACCATGAAGGCTGCGTTTGACCAGATGTAAAATAGTGAGATTGGTTCAATCCTAATCCACGGACCGGCTCGCCATATAGCGTGTAATTTATCATGAGTTATACAGCAGTTCAAGCATATTGTTCCATCTGAACATTAGTGCACACACAACGACCATATTAGCGACGCCCCTGGGCAAGCCTCAGATAAACCAACAACACTAGTCCATTAAGTGCCATCTGAATCACTGTCTGTCTGGACGAGCGAGCACATCCGCCCTGGCAGTACTGATGCTACTTAGCACTGGGAGCCAGCCATGTTGAACCCACTCACCCATTTCTCTGAACTTGCTGGAACGGGGAACTGGAAGGCTAAGGGAAAAAAAATGTTTTAATGAAAATAATTCATGACAATTATCGAGAATCTTTAAACGGTAATTCTGGTAATTTGCTCAATTTTCAGTTGTAGGCATAATAGGTACATGCTCCCATAACTTGTTCAGAGAGTTTTCCCTCCACCATCTGGCTATTGAGATAAGCTCCTGGGCATTGCCTTGATGGGCGCTCACCCGGTCTAATATTGAAGCAGCACCAGACCAGTGGTTTTCACACAAACACGCTTGTGGACCAGCCAAGGTCAGAGGCTGAATCCCCGGGCTTATGAGTAATTTATGTAATTCATTAGTTTGACTGTAGAAAAATCACAACTCCAACTGAGAGGACTGTCTTTGCATTCAGATTTGCAATTGAATCACGCCACCATTTGATATTCGATGCGAATAGGCATACACTATTTATTTGTTTAAATCGTTTACTTTACAAAATAGGCTAGTATGCATCTCATGGCATCTTGCCATGCACGGGTGGATTTGCTTCACTCACACTTACATTTAAGTATGGAGAGTTCACAGCATGCCAAAAAGTGTCCATTGTCAAAATCTGACTGAGTGTTCAGGCCTAGTGGTCCTGTGCTGTTCAGTAAGTAGCCTGTTTCGTCTCACTACTGTATATTTGAGATGTAAACATCTAAAATAATGTATGGGTTATCTTACATCGCCCTCATTTATACCAGTGAAACCAGTCGTTTCCAAATACCCGGCAGCGTTAGAGCAGAGTCAACAAGGCGCTGTCCAGTCACATGGTGCTGAAACCGCCACGAGCAGTAGTGGAGTGACTAGACGCGTGAGTTCGGTCACTGTGGTGACTAATTTAATGACATCTTTGCGATCACACTCTGTAATATGTGTCTACTTCCCCATTAAGAACTTTTTAAATATCCATGTTTTAACTGAGAACATCTACAAAAAAATGTGGGAGATGGGTGGTAATTTTCATCAAGCATAGCCTAATGTCATTCTGAATGCCAAGCACCAATACAAATACTGCAAGCTGAGTTTAACGCCATCTTAGGCTACACATTTTCTAATCAAGCAATCAACCATCGAAATATCAAATGGCATTTTCACAGAGCGTGAGAGAGCTCCTCAAAATGATAGCTGCGCCTTCGCAACAAAGGTAATTTCCTATGCAGGTTCGTCCATTCATTTGATTTCCTCCACACTCCTCAGAACAGAATGTAATTATCCACTGCCCATTTCTACCTCCCGCGGGAGTCTGTTTTTCCTCCCTTTCACCGTGCTCAGCTGTCAGTCAGTCCCCTGCTCCCTCTGGCCCCTCGCACTACATGACATTATGATCCACGTGCTGCCCTTTATCTCCCGCCACTTACTCAACAGTGGCGCCTCAAGCTCCGGAGCGACTGAGTGATGGTCCCGCATACCCGATTGCTAACTAACACTGTGATTCACTAAACGAAATAACCAATTAATAAACCTCACACAAACTTTGCAGAATGAGTGACTGAATCCGAAGAAAATACACAAGGTACAATGCGTAATTGGTTCCACTTTGAGAGAATTGGAGGACATTTGTTCAAACAACATGCAGGACCTATGATTATTCTCCAGATTGGCAATTAGAATAGCCTACAGGCCTACACACGGAGCCTACTGGAAATAACGTTGAACCAACGTGGAATAGACGTTGAATTGACGTCTGTGCCCAGTGGGAGGTTTACGCATCATTATAAGGGCTCAAATCAGCAGACATGATGCGTCTTCCTCATCAGTGTGCACCCTTGATTTTCGCTCTCAGAACTTGGCAGGAATGTGGGCAACCGTGTAGCACAGCTTGTGATCAAATTTATTTGTCCAGGGGGAGAGAGCAACAAACGCAACAAACGCTGGACCGGACAGGTTGGTATATTCAGTTGAGCGGGCATTGGCCCCGCCCTAAGTGTGCCTCCGTAGACCACCACAAGACAATTAATTGCCTTACTGAAACAAAGCCCATGTCGGGATGTTTCTGCAATCAATTAAATAGGTCTATCAAACCAATTGTGTCGTCTATTTGTAGCAACATTGTATGCATTTTGATGCAAAGTGTAACAATAATGAAACAACGGGGAAAACTGATTGGATTTGCAAAAAGCCATAAATGTAAGGGAATTTCGTCTTTTTTTTCATCCAACTTTTAACCTAAATCCAATGACAGGGTGACCTTTTTGGTTGATTTCACGTTGAATTCGCGTTAGATGAGGGGTAGTGTAAAGATAAATAAAATTAACCAAGAAATCATAAGGCCACTTATTTTTCCGTTCTAATTGTAGGCCAGAGCCGTATGACAATTTATAGCCTACTGCAGAATTGGTCCTTCAATGCGATGCTAAATGACATCAACAAGATGGGACTGAATAGGTTGGCGGTCGTTTCAAAAAATAGAATTCATAAGCTACAGCACCAGAATAGCCTAAAATAAAATGAATAATGCACGCCCTACAAAATGATGAGAGACAAATTGAGACGAGGATAGAGGAGAAATCATTATCAATTCGGATGTAAAATCAGAGTGAGGAGACCATGTGTGGTCTGGTAGCAGCCAGTGAGCAGGTGTTTTGGTGCGATGAATAGAGAGAGGAGAGCGGGTGATTCTCCCCCCTCCACCATGTGATGACGGTCAGACTGACTGTATCACCGGAGCGATGGTTTTTAGTCACTTTCAACAGCAACAAATCGACGACAGCAGCACTTGACGTAAAGCCTCCACCACAGAACCGGAGCAGCACGGATCAGAACAACGGGACTTGAAGTTGGTCCCACATTCAAATAATTTTGGTACCAAACACACAGAATGGAAATAGACAGCAGGCTGGATGGAGTGAGGATGTCGACGGAATATATCGCCTCGATTCTTTGACTGTAATTTCTAGCAATCGGTGATAGCATCTCTCTGATTTTGAATTGAAATTCTTTCGGTAAGGATAGTTATGACAATAGTTGCTGCAGGCTGCCGCATTGCCTGACCGCTTGGATAGTGTAATGTTTTTATGGTAATTGTAATATTAGTTTTTTTGGGTGGGGATGGACGATAATGGCTGTCTTACAATTGTGTTTAAAAGGCTTTCAACATAGCTAGCAATTGGTAGCGGAACATATTTAGACCCATTGGGGAAGTCAGCAACAGCCAGTATTATGATTGAATTGAGAGCTATAAATGTCGACATATGAAAATAAACTTGGAAACAGAAGTCAAATGTAAGGTACAGGTGGAAACCTAATGGCGCTGTCCAAAAAGTGAATACAGCCAATGTTGCTTGCACCTTCTATCATACTCAGGGAAGCAGGACGATATCTGAAGTCAGGCTTTGATTTTAGGGTCCTGATTGAGAAGGTGCAATAGGCCTGTACGTGACGCATTCATTGTTCGCGATTTTGGCTGTATCTACGGTAACATTTTAGCTACCATTCAACATTGGCCGTGGACGTTGAAGCAAGAACGATGACTCACTTACAAGCCGGCTTGTCCCCAGAAACACTGGAGAAAGCCAATGTGGAGTTAAAGGAGAACCCCGACACTGTACATCAGGACATTCAGGAGGTGAGGGACATGATTATCACGCGCCCAGACATTGGCTTTCTTAGGACAGACGATGCTTTCATCCTGCGCTTTCTCAGAGCGCGGAAATTTAACCATTTCGAGGCGTTCCGTCTCTTGGCCCAGTATTTTGAGTATCGTCAGCAAAATCTGGATATGTTCAAAAACCTCAAAGCAACCGACCCGGGCATCAAGCAAGCTCTCAAAGACGGATTTCCGGGGGTGTTGACCAACTTGGACAGATATGGCAGGAAAATACTCATTCTCTTCGCCGCTAACTGGGACCAGAGCAGGTAATGTCCGTCTGATATTAGGGAGCTGTCGATTCAGAACTACTCTAACACCACTTGACAGTTTGCTTGCTTGCTCTATTTACTTTTCACAAATCTGTGTTATTGGTTTTGTTAGAGCCTAGTCTTATGAACATAACCGAAACAATTGAACTATTAACCCAAAGGCAATCCATGTCAGTATCATGGATGTAGGCAATGAGAAAAGTTTAGGCTGCACAGGCCAGTAGAAATTCTATCATCACCCCACTAGTGAATGAGGAATGTAAGGACTGAATCAGATACAGTCAAATATAGTTTCACCACATTACTTAATTGCAGAGATTTGACTTTAGGGGCCCACTTATGTGATCTCCATAGTCACAATGACAATTACATGAGTAATTTAAAACAGCCTTTTCAGACCTCACCCAATAGCAGGATGTGATGAACAAACAAAATGCCACCAGGAGTGGCCATTAACTTCACCAATAACAGCACTCACACAAGTCAAATTGTCTCTCCAATCTGATTCTCTGTGTTACTCTCCTGAATGAAAATGGTAAGAGTCACTTCCAGTATATAATGCCAAACAAGGGTATACTGGTTACATTTCATTTGAACTGGGATTACAGTACTAAGATGACATGGTACATTTGTTATTTAATAATAATTACACAATAATCACTTATTACTACTTTGTAGAACCAATTGCCCCTCTTATGTTTGTAATCTAGGCTACATAGAATAGTCTCCTAATGCTTTTCTCACATCTATAGGTATACATTTGTGGATATACTGCGAGCTATTCTGTTGTCGCTGGAGTCCATGATAGAAGATCCAGAGTTACAGGTGAATGGATTTGTCCTGATCATCGACTGGAGCAACTTCACATTTAAGCAAGCCTCCAAACTAACACCGAGTATGCTGAGACTGGCCATAGAAGGTCTACAGGTAATAGTCTCAACATTTTTCTAACCCTTCTCTTTTGTGGGCTCAACATCACTCAGATGAAGTTCTTAGCTACTTTTGACACTTGACTCCATTTACTGAGATTACCCAGATTACTCCTAATTTAGATGGGTTTGCCACATTTAATCATTTTAGTCAAGCCTACAACAGGGATCTTGTCCTTTTGGGATTTTGAATACACCAGGCACTTGTAAGTGCTGCATTTTTGAAGTGCAGATCTCCATTGTTCTTATGGTAGCTTATAGAAGTATAGCTCTACTGCTTCTAGTTTATATGCGTTGAACATTAGAGACAGGCTCTATTTCAACCAATGGCAACTGCTCGGCATCCGACCGTAAGGAGCTACAGAGGGTAGTTCGTAATGCCCAATACATCACTGGCCAAGCTTCCTGCCATCCAGGACCTATATACTAGGTGGTGTCAGAGGAAGGCCCAAAAAATTGTCAAAGACTCCAGTCACCCAAGCCATAGACTGTTCTCTCTGCTTCCGCACGGCAAGCGGTACCGGAGCACCAAGTCTAGGTCCAAAAGGCTCCTTAACAGCTTCTACCCCCAAGCCATAAGACTGCTGAACAATTAATCAAATGGCCACCCGGACTATTTACATAATCAAATGGCCCCCCCCTCCCCCCCCCCCCCCCCTGCTGCTACTCGCTGTTTATTATCTATGCATAGTCACTTTACCCCTACCTACATGTACAAATGACCTCGACTAACCTGTACCCCCGCACATTGACTCTGTACCGGTACCCCCTATAGCCTCGTTATTGTTATGTAATCTTATTGTGTAACTCTATTTCTTGAACTGCATTGTTGGTTAAGGGCTTGTAAGTAAGCATTTCTTGGTAAGGTCTTCACCTGTTGTATTCGGCGCATGTGACAAATAACATTTGATTTGATTTAATTTACCACACATGGTCCTGCACACCTACTGGAATAGGTGGACACGTCTCTGAATATTCACGAGAAACTCTTTCTGATCAACTATCTTATCATTCTCTTGGTTATGTGACAAACTGTTCAAATGTAAAAGCACTTTCACTCAATAATCACTTTCCTGTACTCTCAGAAACTACTTTACAATCAAAGACTTGCATAAGAAATAACTAATGATATTTACATTTTGATTACTGGCAGTGTAGGCCTATGATTGCAATCTTCAGCAGGTGATGCAGAGAATCAAATTTGAACAACATTCCTTTGACCCTGTTCAATCATTTCTAATGGAAGAGAAAAATACAAGGTCTCTGGCCAAGTGCATGCTTTGGTAGCTGGCCAACTAAAATATAAATATGATGTGGAGCCTAAGCCTATAACCTAATAACAATGCATACAGACATTTTTCTGAACGACCTTGCGAATGTCAGACAATTCCTCTTGTAACCCATTATTCAAATTCCAGTGTATGAAAAGTTTAGATAGGCTTGTTCTATAGCCGTGTAGCCTTGTATAATGTACCATGTAGAGCATAGACAGTTATCACCAGAGAGGTTTGTTGACTGAATATCAATGGAGGACCATGATGAGGCCGTTGCACATTCCATTGCTTCTCCAGACACAGATTAGACTGTGAATAATTGATCTATTTGATCTGCTATTAGTATCTCAGTCTCCCAATGTGCCACTACCAAATCATGCGGGAACCCACTGTTGTCGTCCGTTGAATGGAAAAGAAAAGAAAACACACAGAAACATTGTATAACTAATGGAATCATTCACATTTTCTCTGTCCCTAGGGTCCCGGTTCACATCAAGCCCTGTGACGCGCGAACGGTGTCATTTGACGAGTAACGATTGCCAACAATATGTTAATCAGGTAAAGGAGAGAATAAGGGATATAGCTCATTGATGAGATGGGTCAACCATGTTGATGTTCCACTCCACTGGTGGGTCCAGGCTGGAACCCTCTATATAATCTAAAAAAGAATAATTTATCCTCTGTATAAGTAGTGTGCCTATTGTGACACTTGAATGAGCAATGGAAGATCCAGGTGCGCCACTGTGGTTTTTGAAGTAAACGAAGCGTTGATGAATCGTTTCCATGGCAAGTTTATATGGCCTGTAAAAATAATGTAACAGCAACAAATCACTACAAAGGTAATGAATTATTACATGGTATGGTATACCACTATTGATTTTCCACCTCAGACACAATATGTGTTGTCCAGTGCTGGACCCCTCTCCTTATAATGCTAACATTAGAGAGAAAAGTTTCTCCTCTGTAATCAATAGTGGTGACCTATCTGTGAGCCCACTTGACACTGAGCACTGAGAGTATCTCAGGGTGTTGCGGCCCCCTGGTGGGTTTTGTAATGACATTGAGGGGGTTTGTGTGTGCCAGTACGCCTCATGAGTCACTATGCCTGTCATTAAGGGCCTGAGCTGCTAAAGAAATCACACACAAAAACTCACACAAAAGCACTTCCAAGACCTCAACATTAGGTTTTCATCCTCAGCTGAGGTTAACACTCGTTGTCTCTATGGTTATTGATTTAGGAAAATACCAAGACATGTCAAGATGTTCTTTTTTCGTATTATGTTGTGAAGGACATGTAATAGCTGATGATCCATCTTACATGTCATTTGTACCAGGTGCAGCTTACTGTTCGCTGCCCACCAGTGTGAGTGTGTGTGTGTGTCTATGTGTGTGTACTTGCGTGCGTGTGTGCGTACGTGTGTGATCTTCAGGATCTTGGTTCAGGTTGTTTATAATTTCCTGCCAGTACATTTGTTATTGCACATGGGTGGTGCGTTCAGAATACCATGAAGAATTTCAACACTACTGACAACAATGAAAACCGTTTAACACTACCACTGGCAACAATGAAAACACTCTGATTTACAGAGACTGTGGAAGATTCTGAAGCTTAACAGAAAAATGGAAATTCACAGAAAATCTCAAGATAGCCCATAAGGATATTTCAAAACACATCTCCAACTGTGTGATAATTTAGTTCCTTATTCCCAAACTGACAGTCACATCTATTGTTGTTGGAATGGCTAATACACAGAGCACAAACTCTGCTAGATATTTCATTGTGTATTGGCAAAAGAAGAGAAAGAAATTAATACTTGTTTACAGCGCAGATATTCTTGGCAAATCAATACCAAGAAAAACAAATGCTTGGACTGAGTAGAACACACCATGCTGGCCGTGGTTTCCCCAAGCTATACTTTGTTATCTTAGAGCCTCTGTTGTTTCCTCTTGCTCCCTCTGTCTCTGTCTTACCGATGCCTTTTGTCCCTCTCAGTCTAGAGAAATAACCCGTGTTCAGCAGCCAATCACAACAGACCAGTCCTCCCCATCCCACCCCACACTGAGTTTCCGTGGCAACCTGTCCATCCGCCATGCTATGTACTCTCCAGATGAGCTGTGCTGCTAGATGAGAGCCATTCTCCCTCAGTGTGGGTGATGATGTGTACATTGTTTCTGTGGGTTTTAGACAGAGTGGGGGATAAATCTATTTTTCAACCTGTTTACGTTAAAGGTCCAATGCAGCTGTTTTTATCTCAATATCAAATCATTTCTGGGTAACAATTAAGTAACTTACTGTGATTTATTTAAATTAAAATGGTCAAAAAGAAAAAAAAAAAGCTTCTTAGCAAACAGCAATTTCTCAAGCAATAATTTTGCTAGGACTGTCTGGGAGTGAGGAGGGGGAAATTGAAAACTAGATGTTATTGGCAGAGAGGTTTGGAGCTCTCTTTCTTATTGGTCTATGAATTAATTTACCACCTGGCGATGTCACCGGTCAGGCCAAAACTCGATCCCACCAAAACAGGCTGAAATTTCAGGCATTCTTTTTAAACAGCTCTTACGCTATAAAAAATAAAATAAAAATTCACAATTTCACAGTATTATTCAAACTGCATAGTGTGCAAATATATATAAAACACAGGGGAATAACGTGTTTGACTGCACTGGGCCTTTAACATAATTCTGCAGATGTAGGGCTGTAGTCAATCCCTCTGTCGATTTGGCCTGTTTCTCCATAATTATGTAACATGGTGCAATGGTGCTAATTCACATCTTAAAAGGTGACAGCTTAAAATCCATTTAGCCAGCCTCAATCCATCAGTTTTAATTATAGATGAGGGCAACACATTTTTCAAAAGCTCTTGTGCAACAAGATTTAATGTGGCCAAATTCTCATTACTTCTAATAATGATAGTAGGACATTGTCAGTGAAATAATTGGAACCGCAAGAGGTTCATGCTTGGAGCTATCTTCAGAGCTCATTTTTTTAGCACTCTATAAAGTATTCATACTGCACAGAATTTTTTTTCTAATGTGTAAAAAGAGGAATTTCACATTTGTTTTTTCTGCGTATGGCAAATAGACTTATTTCAGTAGCAGCAGTCAAGGCGGTTTTGTGCATTGAGGCCAGTCAATGTACAGTGGGGAGAACAAGTATTTGATACACTGCCGATTTTGCAGGTTTTCCTACTTACAAAGCATGTAGAGGTCTGTAATTTTTTAACACTTCAACTGTGAGAGACGGAATCTAAAACAAAAATCCAGAAAATCACATTGTATGATTTTTAAGTAATTAATTTGCATTTTATTGCATGACATAAGTATTTGATACATCAGAAAAGCAGAACTTAATATTTGGTACAGAAACCTTTGTTTGCAATTACAGAGATCATACGTTTCCTGTAGGTCTTGACCAGGTTTGCACACACTGCAGCAGGGATTTTGGCCCACTCCTCCATACAGACCTTCTCCAGATCCTTCAGGTTTCGGGGCTGTCGCTGGGCAATACAGAGTTTCAGCTCCCTCCAAAGATGTTCTATTGGGTTCAGGTCTGGAGACTGGCTAGGCCACTCCAGGACCTTGAGATGCTTCTTACGGAGACACTCCTTAGTTGCCCTGGCTGTGTGTTTCGGGTCATTTTCATGCTGGAAGACCCAGCCACGACCCATCTTCAATGCTCTTACTGAGGGAAGGAGGTTGTTGGCCAAGATCTCGCGATACATGGCCCCATCCATCCTCCCCTCAATACGGTGCAGTCGTCCTGTCCCCTTTGCAGAAAAGCATCCCCAAAGAATGATGTTTTCACCTCCATGCTTCACGGTTGGGATGGTGTTCTTGGGGTTGTACTCATCCTTCTTCTTCCTCCAAACACGGCGAGTGGAGTTTAGACCAAATAGCTCTATTTTTGTCTCATCAGACCACATGACCTTCTCCCATTCCTCCTCTGGATCATCCAGATGGTCATTGGAAAACTTCAGACGGGCCTGGACATGCGCTGGCTTGAGCAGGGGGACCTTGCGTGCGCTGCAGGATTTTAATCCATGACGGCGTAGTGTGTTACTAATGGTTTTCTTTGAGACTGTGGTCCCAGCTCTCTTCAGGTCATTGACCAGGTCCTGCCGTGTAGTTCTGGGCTGATCCCTCACCTTTCTCATGATCATTGATGCCCCACGAGGTGAGATCTTGCATGGAGCCCCAGACCGAGGGTGATTGACCTTCATCTTGAACTTCTTCCATTTTCTAGTAATTGCGCCAACAGTTGTTGCCTTCTCACCAAGCTGCTTGCCTATTGTCCTGTAGCCCATCCCAGCCTTGTGCAGGTTTACAATTTTATCCCTGATGTCCTTACACAGCTCTCTGGTCTTGGCCATTGTGGAGAGGTTGGAGTCTGTTTGATTGAGTGTGTGGACAGGTGTCTTTTATACAGGTAACGAGTTCAAACAGGTGCAGTTAATACAGGTAATGAGTGGAGAACAGGAGGGCTTCTTAAAGAAAAACTAACAGGTCTGTGCGAGTCGGAATTCTTACTGGTTGGTAGGTGATCAAATACTTATGTCATGCAATAAAATGCAAATTAATTACATAAAAATCATACAACGTGATTTTCTGGATTTTTGTTTTAGATTCCGTCTCTCACAGTTGAAGTGTACCTATGATAAAAAATTACAGACCTCTACATGCTTTGTAAGTAGGAAAACCTGCAAAATCGGCAGTGTATCAAATACTTGTTCTCCCCACTGTATATTATATGCTGTTCTGTCTGAGGCTTGGAATAAGGAAAGTACTTTGTGAAGATATGTAGTATAAATATGTTTTATGGCTTTATGCTTGAGAATGAAAGCACTAGATAATTAGATGGAATATTTTGACCGCCAGGTTTATTAGATTTGTTTTTGCTGAGATTTAACTTGGGCTTTGCCTGATCTTGGTATGCCCTTGAGACTTGTTCGATTGATTAAAAGCTGTTATCTCTGTCTGTGTCTTTTCCCTTTTGTTATCTAACATCCAAATCCCTCGGACTGCATATATATTAGCTGTCCAGTCAGTCTCTCATCTATCAATGCTCTTCTACATACTGGAGCTACTGTACACATCATGTGTATGTAGTACTGCAGGGAGAACAACCTTTTCCTAGACAAATGCTTCTTAGAATCCACTGAGAAAAAGAAAGAAGACATGTTTTTTTGTATTGGTCAGTATCCTTAGCCAACTCAGTGTTGCTGTATTATTTGGATGGAGACTATAGAGGTTTGATTCATCCATAGGCAGTGATGTCATTACAGATCCATAAAATACCCACTGAGCTTTGAAGGGGTTAAACAAAGTGTCTGTCCTTTTCTACTAAATTGGTGAAAAGGCCAGCAGAAGAACACTGACCGGATCCTAATGCCATTCTATGAATAACTCATTGAGCTCGGATGTACTGTATCCCATCGATTGCATGTTTTATTAAGCCCTCCATCTGGTTGTCTGACTGTGAATCTCCCATCTGGATGTTCAGCTCCACTGCCTCTTATCCCACAGCCCTGTCCAGGAGACTCTCGGCTGGCTGAGGAAACAGCAGCAGACATACCTGGGACCGAGGGGCAGAGGAAAACGAATTGTTAGTCTGCTTGCCTCAGATTCCAATTCCGCCTGGCACTCTGGAGTTTTGTTGTCGTTTTTCCTGCAGCAGAACTGTGCTGGTCTGGTCTGCAACAGGATTGGACTAGCCAATGAGTGGAGCTTCATCCCTCACTCGCACTGCTAAGTAAAGCAGGCCGGATCTGGCTGGTGCAGATAAAGTGTCTCCTGTTATTGACATGACCTATCGTTTGTGACTGTGTCTCTTCTCTCTCTCCTTTCTCCTCTCTTTATTACCATGGCTAAATGTGTTAATTCCAGGGTGTATCTCTTGAAAGAAAGCAGAGAATTTGCAATGGTTTTGTCATTTAAAATGTTCACTTAACTTCAATCAAAAGCCTTCCCCAAGGATAATGCTGCTGCTCACTGTAATCTGCTTTTAAACTAGTGCACACGAAGAGGTCTGATTCCAGTAAAGCGTTATAACAAAGTAGCATCTTCACTTCAGGCTACATTTCCTTTTTAAAAAGGGCTCTGCTAAATTGATGTTTTCTTTTTTCATTTTCACCGCAGGATGAGTTCACTCATCCTTTATCAATGACTCCTGACAGGAGCAGAGCAGAATTTAGAGAGCTCGTCAAACCAGGAAAAGATGGGCTCATCAGCTTCTAAAAAAAGAACAGGAGGACATGAGAGCCGCATGCCAGAATTTTCAACATCGACAGTAGTGGAAGATCAAATAGGATTTACATATTATAGGCTATAGTCTTTTAGTATACACCGTCTCATCTCTTGGGTGTGCATATACCCTTTTGTCATGTTTACAAATCCGTTGCCAAATTCATTCAAGACAATGAAGCCCAAGATCAAATGAGAGTCACTGTTGCAATCGGTTAATCAGCATGTTTTGGTCTACAAATAACATGTCATCAGTGTATAGCATCGACTCCTTGTAGTACAACACAGTTTGTAAACTCCTCATTCTGGGATTTTGCCAGTACGTGTTGGTCAGTGTTCACTGATGGGTTTGACAGCTTGGCTTTATAGGCTTCTATTGCCATAAATGCCTCTTTGCAATGCAAGGGAATGCCGCATCAGCAATCAATGCCTGGTTAGATGGACTGCCCTTGAACCTCTGCTCTAGTCTCTTGCTTTTGTTGCTTGGGAAATCTGCAATGTATCATCATGTACATTTAGATATCCAACAAAGGGACATCAGGAGGCTAAGCTGTGACATCACAGCCACCAAGCGATCAAAGTAATGACATGTATATTAACTAATATGTCCAAACATAAGCGAATAAGCTAATAAACCAATTGGAAATTATCTTGTGATAAAAGAGCTTTGGAGCCCTGCAAAATGGCCCATATACGCCAAAGTCCATCTGTTCATGTTCCACGCTGCTGGCCTCAGATGATGTTTGCATGTCATCTGTCTTTTTAGCTGATCAGTTTCAAGTTTGAACCCATAAGAGTCTAAGGGGGGTTCTACTAAGCTTTATTGTTTTAAGAAGGTCATACCAAGGATCATTTAGCGATTTGATTTGGAACACTTTTAATTATAAAAACATATATATGTGCACAGGCATTCTATCGGTCAACCCTATCACCAGTAAGAGGTTGAGTTAGAACCCAGCATGCCAACCCAGTAGAAGTGTTGTTCTTTAGTGATATTAGATTATTCTTGTGATTTAATCAATTGAAGGTTAATCACAGAAATGGAGACAGATACAGTGGGGGAAAAAAGTATTTAGTCAGCCACCAATTGTTCAAGTTCTCCCACTTAAAAAGATGAGAGAGGCCTGTAATTTTCATTATAGGTACACGTCAACTATGACAGACAAATTGAGAAAAGAAATCCAGAAAATCACATTGTAGGATTTTTTAATGAATTTATTTGCAAATGATGGTGGAAAATAAGTATTTGGTCACCTACAAACAAGCAAGATTTCTGGCTCTCACAGACCTGTAACTTCTTCTTTAAGAGGCTCCTCTGTCCTCCACTCGTTACCTGTATTAATGGCACCTGTTTGAACTTGTTATCAGTATAAAAGACACCTGTCCACAACCTCAAACAGTCACACTCCAAACTCCACTATGGCCAAGACCAAAGAGCTGTCAAAGGACACCAGAAACAGAATTGTAGACCTGCACCAGGCTGGGAAGACTGAATCTGCAATAGGTAAGCAGCTTGGTTTGAAGAAATCAACTGTGGGAGCAATTATTAGGAAATGGAAGACATACAAGACCACTGATAATCTCCCTCGATCTGGGGCTCCACGCAAGATCTCACCCCGTTGGGTCAAAATGATCACAAGAACGGTGAGCAAAAATCCCAGAACCACACGGGGGGACCTAGTGAATGACCTGCAGAGAGCTGGAACCAAAGTAACAAAGCCTACCATCAGTAACACACTACGCCGCCAGGGACTCAAATCCTGCAGTGCCAGACGTGTCCCCCTGCTTAAGCCAGTACATGTCCAGGCCCGTCTGAAGTTTGCTAGAGTGCATTTGGATGATCCAGAAGAGGATTGGGAGAATGTCATATTATCAGATGAAACCAAAATATAACTTTTTGGTAAAAACTCAACTCGTCGTGTTTGGAGGACAAAGAATGCTGAGTTGCATCCAAAGAACACCATACCTACTGTGAAGCATGGGGGTGGAAACATCATGCTTTGGGGCTGTTTTTCTGCAAAGGGACCAGGACGACTGATCCGTGTAAAGGAAAGAATGAATGGGGCCATGTATCGTGAGATTTTGAGTGAAAACCTCCTTCCATCAGCAAGGGCATTGAAGATGAAATGTGGCTGGGTCTTTCAGCATGACAATGATCCCAAACACACCGCCCGGGCAACGAAGGAGTGGCTTCGTAAGAAGCATTTCAAGGTCCTGGAGTGGCCTAGCCAGTCTCCAGATCTCAACCCCATAGAAAATCTTTGGAGGGAGTTGAAAGTCCGTGTTGCCCAGCGACAGCCCCAAAACATCACTGCTCTAGAGGAGATCTGCATGGAGGAATGGGCCCAAATACCAGCAACAGTGTGTGAAAACCTTGTGAAGACTTACAGAAAACGTTTGACCTGTGTCATTGCCAACATAGGGTATATAACAAAGTATTGAGAAACTTTTGTTATTGACCAAATACTTATTTTCCACCATAATTTGCAAATAAATTCATTAAAAATCCTACAATGTGATTTTCTGGATTTTTTTTTCTCATTTTGTCTGTCATAGTTGACGTGTACCTATGATGAAAATTACAGGCCTCTCTCATCTTTTTAAGTGGGAGAACTTGCACAATTGGTAGCTGACTAAATACTTTTTTCCCCCACTGTATTATTGACTCACTGGAAGATCTGGGGTACCAAGGCCCTCTGTTGGAGGATGGAGCACTGGAGGCTGCAGTGAGCGGGGGAGCAGCAGCACCAGAGTTCACCAAGGTGTGTGCCTGGATCGTCTCAGAGCTCAAGCTCTACTGTCAGCTGGAGGAGAATGTCCATGCCACCAACTGTTCCAGTGAGGCAGAGGGGTTCCAGCTGGAGATGAGTGGTCTTCTGTCTGAGCTGGCCTGTCCTTACAATGTTCTTACCACAGGAGATGTCACCCAGAGGCTCCTCAACAAGACAAACTGCCTATTGCTCATCACCTTTCTGATCTCGGAGCTGGAGGCCTCCAGGATGATCCTGGTCAACAAGCCTCAGAAGGCAGCCCAGGAGGCAGGGGGCAGTGTTGTCTTTATGGAGCTGAAGGGGATCTGTGTGTCCCTGGGCATGTCCAAACCCCCAGCCAACATCACCATGTTCCAGTTCTTCAGTGCGAGAAGAAGCTGAAAGAAGCTCTAGCCAAAGTGCCATCAACTCATGTTGGGGGTCTTCTGATGAAGAAGGCACTTGGACCAGTTCACTTTGAAAAAATCGAAGCCATCAATCAAGCACTTGTGAATGAGTATGAAGTCCGAAGGAAGATGTTGAAACGTCTTGACGTGACAGTTCAGTCCTTTGGTTGGTCTGACAAAGCTAAGAAACATGCTGAAAAGCTGGCCAATGTATACCCGCCTCTGCGTTCAACCCTCGCCACAAAGAGCAAAGTCTCGGTGGCTCACCTCTTTGCTGCATGAGAGGACCTCTCCAAGATTATGCGCACAAGGAGTGGCAGGATGAGGGAGAGGACTGCTTGTGCCATTAACAAGGTTCTGATGGGACGCGTGCCAGACAGAGGTGGGCGACCCACTGAGATTGAGGCGTGCCCACCAGAGATGCCCACCTGGCAGAAGAGGCAAGACGGTCCTCAGGGAGGGAGGTGGACACTATGGCGGGGGTGGACGAGGAGGCGTCAGGGGGGGCTACGACCAGCACTCTCAGGGGGGCCGAGGGGGTTACGAGCGAGGAGGAGGGGGTTATGAAAGGGGCGGGAGGGGGCGGCAGAGGGGGCAAGGTGCAGGGAGGCTGGTCGGACGGAGGAGGAGGTGGAGGTGGTGGTGGTGGGGGTGGTGGTTACCAGGGTCATTACCAGGAAGGAGGTGGCCATCAAGGGGGTGGGGGGAGAGGAGGTCACGGGGGTGGACAATTTCAAGGGGGCTTTCAGGGCCCTGGTTACCCTGCAGTAGGGCATCAAGGGGGAGGAGGAGGGGGCGGAGGAGGAGGTGGTTACCAACACGACAACCAAAATCAAGAAGGCGGTTGCCACCAGGACAGGGGTGGCCGAGGGGGTCGCGGGGGTAGAGGAAGAGGTGATGGTAGGGGAAAAGGTCAGGGAGAAGGTTGGCGAGGGGGTCAGAATTTGAACCAAGGAGGACAGTTTGAACAGTTTTTCCAGCAGGCTGGCCAGCAGTACAATCAAGCAGGCTTTAGCCAGAGGAGCAAAAACTACACTAGTTGAAAAGAAAGTGCAGGCCACTGAAGCAGAGATCATGCAAGTCATGAAGTGAAAACTCCTTATTTTCTAAATGTGAATATGAATATAAAGCATGGTTATTATAATTTCTTCCCTAAACCGAATAAGAATGTGAAGAGTGACCATGTCTCCAACTGAAGAGAAAGTCCAGGTCATGCATAGCCTAGTCCCCTGTAGCTCAGTTGGTAGAGCATGGTGCTTGCAACGCCAGGGTTGTGGGTTTGTTTCCCACGGGGGGCCAGTGTGAAAATGTATGCACTCACTAACTGTAAGTCGCTCTGGATAAGAGCGTCTGCTAAATGGCTAAAATGTAATAATTACATTATTTGATGAATAATTATTTTTGACCTTACTGCTATTAGCCCATACAAATGCATGGAATAACAGATTCACTACATGGAACAAAAAAAGTTTGTTCTGAAGTGTCTGTCCTATATCTGAGAGATATACGAAAGATCAAGAAGCATTATTTTAATTTTATTTTTTACATGTATTTAACCCCTTATTTTTGGCACTAAACAGTCTCCATATATACAGTACCAGTCAAAAGTTTGGACACACCTACTCATTCTAGGGTTTTTCTTGATTTTTTCTTATTTTCTACATTGTAGAATAATAGTGAAGACATCAAAACTATGAAATAACACATATGGAATCATGTAGTAACCAAAAAAGTGTTAAACAAAATATATTTTATATTTGAGATTCTTCGAAGTAGCCACCCTTTGCCTTGATGACAGCTTTGCACACTCTTGGCATTCAGATATCTCTAGCCACTTCCGTAGATGCGGAAATCGACCTTAGGTGGTTAATGTCACTTGAAACTGATCAGCTAAAAAAAGCAGATGACATCCAAACATCTGAGGCCAACAGCACGGAACATGAACAGATGATCACAGTTAAGCTTCATGCTCTCACAATCATGGAGGTTGTCCTCCCCAAATGAAACCGCAGCAGAAGTATCTTGTAGCTAGAATAAATAAATGAGGGCAGCGGTGATTTCTATTCTTTCCCCTTTCCTCCTTCCCTCAACATCACACTAGGGGTACAGATCAATCCACTTCCACCACCAACAACCAGAGGAGGAAGACAGAGCCTCCATCATGTATTCTGTTTTGTGTTTCATGTATAATGCAGATGGCGCCTTCATCCTAGTCAAAGCTGTCGGATGGATCACAAAGCGGGAGGGACAATATTAGGCAGGCTGATGCTGCTCTCAGGGACATACTCCAGGCTGTGGCAACCTGGGAGATTTGGCCGGGCGAGGTGACTCGGACCTCTTGCCCTCTTCCTGTCCACTGTCAGCTGTCTCTGTTCCTTGGTGTCAGATCTTTTATCTCAGCCTGCGAGTGCCTCCGCTGGTGCCAGACACTGGACCGCCCGGTGTCCTTGCAGCCAGGCCAAGGGACGCTAACCCAGCTGTCCAGCATCACCGTGGCGACAGAGGCTTAAAGCTCAGTTCTGTCATCTTCACCATCAAAGTACATTACTCTTTTCTCTCTCAGACACATGCTAGCCCCACTGAGGGTGATGACGAGTATCCTGAACAAACGATGGACTCTTAACACCCTGATCCCTGTGATCACAGTACCTGTATGTAAAAGGATTAAGGTGGAAGGATCCTTCTGTTCAGCTTCAAGGCCTACATGTGCACATGAAGCCATTACTGTCCTGTTTTAAAAACGAACAGCTATCTGGTTATCTGCAAACTATCAGAAAATCAATATGCATAGGCAAGAGGCAAGGTCTATCTCCCATGGCAAGAACACCCTCTGGCACTTCAACTTGTTGTCTGAAAGTGTGATAGAAATAATTAGTATCCCGGTTTTCCATCTGTATTGTGATATGAGTTGATTGCCATACTTAGTCAGTAGAAGTATACGTTCCGCTCAGTAGAAAGGTACAGCATGGCTTGCGTTAATGAAGAACTCCCAGCTTGGGCTCTCTAAACTGGGAGGGAAAAACTCCATAATGACAGTCATGTCTGTGATCTGAAATGTCGAGCCTGATTAATATGGATGAGAAACAGACAGATTTAAGAGGGAACGCTACAGCAAGCTAGCGACACCATCATTAACTACCTTCATTAGCTCATTTAAATGATACAGGTAGCCATTACACCAGTCTTAAACCTCAGTAAAGTCTTCAGAACAGATGGGAACCACACTTACATATGAAACAGAGACATTACCAACTTGTTAAATGTGGCCAGAGTTTACCCCAGGCTGTGTCACTAGATTACATGGAGTACTCTGGGTGTTCCTCCTGCGTCCGCCTCACAGACAATCCCCTAAATCATCAGATTACTCATTTACATAAACATTTCCCCAGGGATCCAGTTCTGGTGCTCGCCAGCCAACCCTGTTATGTCAGGATATAATCTCAGTATACTCCCTGTGTCCAAATTATGACACAGAGATTAGAACATTGTGAGAATAGTGTCCAAACTATGAGAACTGCCCTAGCTGCCAGTCTCCAACCTGCATGGCAATGTAACATGGCCCAGAAGGCAACAGCACTGAACAATTCAATGTTAATTCAATATACAGTAGCTATTAAGATAAATGGACTGGGTGATTTTCGATGAGCAACATTAACATAAACCCAATATGCAAACCCATCAAGATAAATCTGTAACATTGGAAAAGGGAATGGAAAATCACTTAATGATGTTCAATTTACATTCTACATAACAATGTTTAAATCCACTCTCATTAAAACATACTCTCCTCTGACATACTGTAATTTGAATAGAATAATATTAACACAGCAAAAGAGGATTAAGTTAGTAACCATACCATCAGGCAGAATAGTGAGTGTATTTGTGTTCTTTGTTGCCCACAGGACAGCTTCCCTGCCAGGTTCGGAGGAATCCATTTTGTGAACCAGCCGTGGTACATCCACGCCCTGTACACCGTCATACGGCCCTTTCTGAAGGACAAGACGAGAAAACGGGTAGGAGTAGAGTATGTTGTTGAGGGAACATAATGAAAAACCTTTTTGACAGAGACCATCGGGTCAACTGTATTGCTGTATAACCAATGAATGTAAGTTCATTGTGTTCAACATCATTTATCGTAGCCTTCATAATAGTGATGTCATTTACAAAATAGCCTCCAACACTCTACTCAGCAAATTGGATGTAGTCTATCACAGTGCCATCCGTTTTGTCTCCAAAGCCCCATATAATACCCACCACTGTGACCTGTACGCTCTTGTTGGCTGGTCCTCACTACATATTCGTCGCCAAACCCACTGGCTCCAGGCCATCTATAAATCACTGCTAGGCAAATCCCCGCCTTATCTTAGCTCATTGGTCACCATAGCAACACCCACCCGTAGTCTGCGCTCCAGCGGGTATATCTCACTGGTCATCCCCAAAGCCAACACCTCCTTTGGCCGTAATTCCTTCCAGTTCTCTGCTGCCAATGACTGGAACAAATTGCAAAAATCTCTGAAGCTGGAGACACTTATCTCCCTCACTAACTTTAAGCATCAGTTGTCAGAGCACCTTACCGATCACTGCACCTGTACACAGCCCATCTGAAATTAGCCCGCCCAACTACCTCATCCCTATATTGTTATCTATTTTGCTCATTTGTACCCCAGTATCTCTATTTGCACATCATCTCTTGCACATCTATCATTCCAGTGTTAATACTAATTGTAATTATTTTGCACTATAGCCTATTTTATTGCCTTACCTCCATAACTTGCTAAATTTGCACACTGTATATTATATGTATTTCTGTTGTATTTTTGACTTTGTTTTGTTTTACCCCATATGTAACTCTGTGTTTGTTTTTATCACACTGCTATGCTTTATCTTGGCCAGGTCGCAGTTGTAAATGAGAACTTGTTCTCAACTGGTTTACCTGGTTAAATAAAGGTGAAATAAAAAATAAAAAAATAAAAATAAAAGCTGTAGTCATATAAACAGTGTTCAGGTCAGGACATAAGCTTTTCACAATGGCAAACCTATCCTCTCTAACATACTGTAGACTTTAGCATGCTGTTAGACTGTATACTGTATGCTCATTATCTATCTGTGTCAATGTTGTTGTGTTGTTTTGTCCATCCATCTGCAGATCTTCATGCATGGGAACAACCTGAACAGCCTTCACCAGCTCATGCACCCTGAGATCCTGCCCTCTGAGCTGGGGGGGATGATGCCCCCCTACGACATGGGAACCTGGGCCCGCACCCTCCTGGACCACGCCTATGACGAGGAGACCGAGTACTGCCCCGAGTCCTACAGCCTGTCTGTCAAAGACCTGGAGAAAGACCTGTCTCCCAAAACCATGAAGAGGTCCGTCTAGACTCTGGACAGTCATGTTATTCACGTGTGTCAATGTGATAGACTGTGTGTTGTGTCTTCATACGAGACAAAAGTAGAGGTGTCTGACATGTTAGTCTGTCAGATATATCATAGCTGATGTATTTTCTTCCAGGAGCAGTGATGTTTTGGGGCTGTCGCTGGGCAACACAGACTTTCAACTCCCTCCAAAGATTTTCTATGGGGTTGAGATCTGGAGACTGGCTAGGCCACTCCAGGACCTTGAAATGCTTCTTACGAAGCCACTCCTTCGTTGCCCTTGCGGTGTGTTTGGGATCATTGTCATGCTGAAAGACCCAGACACGTTTCAACTTCAATGCCCTTGCTGATGGAAGGAGGTTTTCACTCAAAATCTCATGATACATGGCCCCATTCATTCTTTCCTTTACACGGATCAGTCGTCCTGGTCCCTTTGCAGAAAAACAGCCCCAAAGCATGATGTTTACACCCCCATACTTCACAGTAGGTATGGTGTTCTTTGGATGCAACTCAGCATTCTTTGTCCTCCAAACACGACGAGTTGAGTTTTTACCAAAAAGTTATATTTTGGTTTCATCTGACCATATGACATTCTCCCAATCCTCTTCTGGATCATCCAAATGCACTCTAGCAAACTTCAGACGGGCCTGGACATGTACTGGCCTAAGCAGGGGGACACGTCTGGCACTGCAGGAATTGAGTCCCTGGCGGCGTAGTGTGTTACTGATGGTAGGCTTTGTTACTTTGGTCCCAGCTCTCTGCAGGTCATTCACTAGGTCCCCTCGTGTGGTTCTGGGATTTTTGCTCACCGTTCTTGTGATCATTTTGACCCCACGGGGTGAGATCTTGCGTGGAGCCCCAGATCGAGGGAGATTATCAGTGGTCTTGTATGTCTTCCATTTCCTAATAATTGCTCCCACAGTTGATTTCTTCAAACCAAGCTGCTTACCTATTGCAGATTCAGTCTTCCAAGCCTGGTGCAGGTCTACAATTGTGTTTATGGTGTCCTTTGACAGCTCTTTGGTCTTGGCCATAGTGGAGTTTGGAGTGTGACTGTTTGAGGTTGTGGACAGGTGTCTTTTATACTGATAACAAGTTCAAACAGGTGCCATTAATACAGGTAACGAGTGGAGGACATATATCATAAAGTATATGGCTCATGTAATAACCACAGAAATAGTGCAGATATGGGACATAACTAGGGATTCCTATACCTATAAGATACATGGAAAACACATGATTGATTTTCTACAGTAGGAGTAATCCTTCAATAAATTGCACAACACTGTAGTACAGAGCACAGAGATCTATATTCTGGTTTGTGTGTTGTGTACTAAAGGCCTCTCACCGACATTATTCAGGGGGGTAGCTCTTAGAGATAAGCATAGGAAATGGTATAATTTGATATTATAATATGTATTCACTATTCAAAATGCAAAACTTATTCAGAGAAATTGTTCTCAGTGTTTCATTCAGGTGAGTGGTTTAGTTTCTGAAATCCTCCATGGCAGATAGATGTATGTTTTATAGAAATAATAAATGAGGCATGATGACTGACTAGTTTGCTTTAGTGACAGTCCCTTGTCTCGGTGAGTTTCTTTAGGGCTGTCTCTCTCGACTTACTGGGTCATGAAATGGAGTGAGCTCTGACTTTTTCAGAGTGCACTAGCTACCTTCTGGAGCATGAACAGAAGTGATGGAGTTTTACCTTTGGCAATAAGCTCAGTTCCACTCCTGCTGCCACACACAACCCTGTACTGAACCTGGACAGACATATGACATTGTCATGAAGGCCTTCTTGCCTTGAGAATATTAGCCTCTTCAATGTCCTTTTGTCCTTTTCTTTAGTGAGCCATCTAAATTTCTCGTGTGTGTGTGTGTGAAATACATGCACTTCCCCCAAGCATAGCACAGTATCCTTAGTAAAAATAAAAAAAGAAGTGGTTTAGCAGATTTGAATCAGTGAAATTTACTATGAATGACATTTCTGCTTACCAAGACAATAGACTGACGCAGCAGTCAAAGCAATGAGAGATAAGGTACTGTATGGGATTTTCATTGATTCATCAAGGAAATAAAAGCATTTAATAATGTCTTTATTCCTATTGTTACCTAAGCCCTCTGTTACTCTGCACTGCCCTGTATCTGTGACAGAAGCATTTGATTGGTGTATTATAGCATCATGGTCAGGGGCCTGCTATATGGTGAATTTAGTGCTGTAAATCACCAGCAGACATATGATCTGAAGTGACTTATTTAGTCAGGGCTGTTAGCTCTCCACTTTACACTGCGATGTATACGCTCCACAAAGGTCAAGCCAACATTGCCTCTTCCATTACTTGATTAAAAAATAACAAAATCGGCTATGAGTCACTGTTGGAGAACCATATGCTCTGAATGATGAGCCGCTGTATCATGGCCACCCCATAATGACACAGCCATACTGAACTGTATGACTGTGATGCGTGTGTGTGTGAGTGGTGGACTGGCTCCCAGGCTGATCTGTTTTACTTCCCTGTTCACTGCTGCAGTAATTACATAGATCCCCGCTAGCAGCAGTAGCTTTATGAACTTCCAAATGTTAAGCTCACTGAGGCTGACAGGGTCCTACTATTTTAGTTTTACTATTCCAAAGGCAATTTGAGCCCCTGTGTAAATACTGTACAATCATCTATTTTATTTTGTTTGTTGGTGTTTTTTTGTTGCCACAGGTGAATGAAGCTCTGGTTGTTTTCTTAGTTATCATCATTAGTCGTATGAATGTTTTTCTGTCACAGCAGTCACAGGAGACCAACCTGTTCCAGACTTCTGCATGATGAATGATCACTCCTGTTCCCCAAAGCAGCTTAGGCTTCTGTTGGAGAAATACATCAGAAATAGGTCAGAGCAGTGTCTGAGGGTGACATTTTGTGATCGAATGACCTTTTCGGGCTCATGTACTATACAAGACAACACAATTTCTATTTCTAGGAGATCATTTTTAATGTTTTGTTTGCTTTTGCGCGTGCGTGTGTGTGTGTGCACGTGTGTATGTTTGTGTGTTTTGGTGTATTGCACGTGACCCAAGGCCTCCTAAAACAATTCATGCTGGGGGATTTTGTGATGCATTTATGAAACCAATCGTCTATGACCTTGTATGATTCCTATGTGTGCTCCCTGCTCTGCAGGATTCAAGGGTGCTCTGGTGCTCGCACCTTTGCATCCCACACCTTTGTACTAGAGTAGGCGAGAAGTCCTCAGTGATACTGCTTCAATGAGCACAGGCCCCTCTGATGCCAGTCATCTTTTATTCATATCCACAGGTCCCAGTCGGTGGTGGAGCCCGGAGTGCTTAAACGGCCAGAAAAAGTGAAGAGCGAGGAGGAGAACATGCAGCCGCTGCTCTCGCTGGACTAAAGTACGGCTCGACAACACAAGCAGACCAAGAAACATCGCCCTCAGACAGAAAGACAGACAGAGGGGAGAGAATTCCCATGCTCCCTCAAACAAAAAAAGAACACAGAGAAATAACGATGCGAGGAAGAGGGAAGAGATTGGAGCACGAGGAGAACCTCTTCCAGCATCATAAAGATGGGAAAAGCCGGCATTTTGAGAGATATTTCTAAAAACGAAAAGGGAAGAAGAGATACTAGCAGAGTTCCATATGTTATTGTCAAGTGCCAATTCAAAACTGTAAATACACTTCTGATCTAAACACTAGGAGGATGGGGGAGTCAATGTGACAGGAACACATGTAAAGACTGCTGTTAATATTCTGTATGTGCTTCTCGTGAAATATTATGTGAAAAAAGTGGTACTGTAGGAGGCTGATGGGAAATCACGCTTAAAGGGGATTGGAAGCTGGGGGCTTTTGGGACAGTATTTAACATTTCCAAAACTGCAAGTGCAGCTCAGGATTTGTTCTAAAAATGATGAGGTTCTCTTCAAACGCAAAGCAGAAAGTGTCTGACTGTGTGCACAGCAAGGCTTGTGGCTCTTTGATCATGGGGAATTCAAACAGGCGTTCAGGTTTCTCTATCTAAAAGCAAACTCCCCTTTACAGTACAAGGCTCAATGAATGATGTACTTTTGTCAGAGGCCACATTTTTTATTTCATCTGAATCTTACCATTGGAATGCTTTCATCTATGATACCCCTCTTTTGGTTGAACAGTGTCTTCAAACTGGCAAACCACAAAATGTTTCTACAATTATGAAACATTTGTCAAGGTTAGATATTTGATATTACATTTGCTACACATTAAGAAGTAAGTACAGTACCATGAAAACATTCTGCAACAGCAAGGTCACATGACAAATATCTCATATTTTGAAATGATTTAGTATTAGGTATTGGTTCAGCTCAGAAGTGGTAACAATGTTGTCTCTGTGTCATGTGATTCCAAAAATGTGTTCCTATTTAAGGATTATCTTGAAACTATCTGTTTCAATAGGAGAGACGCTGTCCACAACAGCACACACCTACTTGAAAACCAATTTAGATACAGTATTTAAAATATATATATATATAACTTTCTCGTATCTTATTTTATGATGGTGGAAGTTAAGATACAGTATTATGTATACTTATATATATATATATATATATATATATATATATATATATATATATATATATATATATATATATATGATAACATGCTTTTTTGATGGCTGCAGGGGTACAGTCAGTGTATGCCACTGTGTTATCTTCGGTTGCTAGCTCCTTTGTTTCTCCCTGCGTGGCGGTGAAGCTTGAGGCAGTGTTCAGCTCTGGAGCCTCTGAGCCCTGACACAGTGCTGCCTTCCTGTTATGTCACTATGGACTCACTCTGGAGTGGCTGCCTGGCTGCCCAGAACTAGGCCGGTCAGTCAGTCAGCCAGTCAGCCAGTCAGTCAGTCAGCCAGTCAGTCAGTCAGTCAGTCAGTCCTAATACCTAGTGATCACCGTACCGTAAACTGTCCAGGAAATGTCATCTCCAGCTCGATGACTGAAGGACTCATGCTTTCAGCTGCTGCAGACCCAGGAACCTCTTTGGTTTCTTTGGTGACCAGAGGGCGCCATAACAGCTTGTCAGTGTTACCCAGTCTGTCTGTAGTAGCCGTTAGGTAGCGATGTGTGAGAGACGTTACAATAACCCGATAGCTGAACAATGGTGTTGTTATCTGAAGCCTCATTGATCAGATGCTGCTGTATGTGTGTTTCACCCTGGTTTAAAGTATTTCATATTTTTGTGTGATGTTAATCAGTATTTTAAGGCATCCATGACTCGTTTGTCCTGTGCACTATTCAGATCATGCTTCCTTACAGAATGATGATGCAACAACAGCAGCAGCCTTTTGCGAATTGAATATGCTTGAGAGAATTGAATATGCTTTTGAGAATTAAATATGTTTAGCATTTGTAATATTCTTCCAATTGTTTTCATGTATCCAGACTTCTTTTTTTCTTCTTTTTTTTGCCATTTCAACCAAAGCCACCCTTTGATAAAATAATGTTTTTATTGTATAATGCTTTACTTCATCCATGGCTTGAAGGTACAGTAACGACTTATTATGACAATTAATAATTGTTCATGAAATGAATTCATATTATTGCTTTGAGTTAATCCTTTGGTTTCATGTTTCCATGTCAATTTGATTGTATATACATATAGGAACAGATGAGAGAGAAACTCAAATTAGAGGTTTTGTCATATCACAGATTATTCAAAGCGGACGTGTTGGGAAGTGTGTTTTAATGTTTAAATGTCCTTAAAGACAACTTGCTGAATTCAATTATGTAAATGAATCAAACATGAGCAACCAATAAATATGGACACACAGGTTGTTATCACTCTGCTCTCTTATTTACCTGTTTTGCACTCCTGTATACTGCATACTATGTTTAAGTGTAATGAATATCTTAAAATGGAGGCCATACTCCTGACGCACACCAATTTCAGCTAAGCAGTAAGGCATGAGAGTGTGAGCTAAACAGTGTCAAGACCAAGGTTATGCTAAAGGTAAAACTGACCTTGTATTTACAGGCACTTTTGTTAGAAGAACCTTTGCTGTTGAAGTATGAGTTGAAGACCACTAAACTGAATACATTATGATTACAGCAGGTGATTGAGAGACCTTCAAAGCATTCAGTAAGCAGGTCGCATTGAAATGAGAGCGCCTTCAGTAAACACGTGTATTGGCAAATTTGCCGATGAATAAATGAAAAACTCTGAAAGATATTAAAAGCTGTGTGATCATGGTAATTGTTCGGGTGGAAAATGACCTCAGAATACCTCTAGGCCGCGTTTCAGCAAAATACAAGCAGCTGGTGTCTGTGTAGAGAGCTAATATGAGGAATTGTCGCAGCAGGAGGATTTTTCCGTCCTTGCCTATACTGAGCCACCCTGGGTTTACTGCAGTGTGTGTGGAGAAGAGGACACACCACAATCCCCCACTGAACACACATAGCAGCAAACCCACCAGCTTTTTGAATTATTCATTGAGAAAGCCATCGTTATTTCCTCCCACATGACCATCATGGTGCAGTCTGTTTGGCTAGTTGGCTCACCCAGTCAGAGGCCCATACTGACTAAGACAACAGACGTGGTGTGATTTATGATTTCACATGGGATTCTCCACCTTGACTGAGTCTACTGATCTTCCCCATTGACTTCAATGTAATAGTGTAGCACTCTTTGTTCTATAGCTCTGCTGAGAGCGTGAGGAGCCAGAGGTGGAACCAGCAGCTTCCATATTGCCTTACTTTGCCCTGGTCCTCTCCCAGACAGCCTTTTATGGAGATTGGAGCTCTGATCCTGGCCTGAGGTGAACTCTGGGAGCTGCCCGCCTTCCGACTGCGTGTTTAGGCTGTTGATGCTGGAGGGAGTTGTGTTGTGGAGGATACTGTGGCCAAAAAGGCAGAGATGAATCACACCTCTTTACCTCAGGTCTCTTGCTCACATCACATGCATGAGACTCACCCGCTCTGACTATGTGGCAAGGAGCAATATTCTCTCTAATGTCTCTGTCTGCACAGTGGTTATATCAGGAATTCAAACAACCCCCACAGCATAATTGATTTCACTCTGTTTTCACCCAAAACTCCACGGTAGCTTCAAACCTAAGACAACAAGCGGTTGGTTTTTGGAACGCCCGTTGTATTATTCATTGCAAGAGGTGGCATTACCGAGCATGAGGCACATTGTACTAATTTAGTGCTCTGGCTGACCCAGATCTCATGGCTCATCAGCTGATGAAGAGGCCTAGCTAGCTGGCCTGTGTGGCTCTCTCTCTTTGTGGTAGACTGCTACTGTAGCTCAGGGATCATAGGGTCCTCAGGACCAACACCTCTCCTCTGCTGTAGAGCCATGGAGAATTATTCCTTTAAATAGTGTACTGCTTTTAGGGGACAGAAAATGTGGGTTCAAGTAGCACGGTTTTAGCAGGAAACCAATGTAAGAGAGGAATTTACTCGCTGGATTCTATTTTTGTTCCCTGGCCTTTTTCTGAGCAGATTTGATTCCATTAGTTTTATGAATAGCTCAGGCGTGGGCTGTGACTCCTCTTGTTGGGTCAGTTTGGGAGGAGCCTTGAGAGAAAATGGAAAGGACGGACCCACAAATCAAATTATACAGTACCACTAAAGTCCTTTGGCATACAGTAGCCTCCACTCATACAGTATCTGTGGAACTGACTCAATGTTATGAAAGCACTTATCTGCACTGCATGATATTTAGGCAAACACACCTCAAGTACTCTGTCGTGTTTTTATTTCCCCTCTCAGGCCTGGGAATCGAGTATACACTGTGTCCTGGGAGTCTTAAAGGTTGCCTGTGTGGTAAAGTGTCATAAAAACAACACAGCAGCAATTGATGGAGGCACTCTGCAGCAGCACATATGGTTGCCTGCCTCATAACTGGGGTAAAAAAAAGCTATAAAAATGTCAGGTATGATTATCCCTCTGTTGCAGAAACAGTATTATCGCTGCTGTTTTATCCCCACCGATATTAGTCCCTGTTTATAAGGACTGCTGTTACACAGGGAAATATGGACATAAGAGGATTGGACCTAATCAACAGTCTTTATAGTCACTGTTATGCCTCAGGATCAGATAACTTTGTTGCTGGGTGGCATGACAATGCGCTGTCCAGAATACAATAGTTTAAGGACAGATTACAGTGTGTAGTGAAGATTTGTGTCATTACAATATGAAAAGAAGATTGTTGCATTAAGGAGATAGTTCGTGATTATGGCAACGAAGCCCTTAATATACATCCCCAGAGTCAGATGAACTTGTGGATACCATTTTTATGTATCTGCGTCCTATCCCTTTAACACAAAAATGAATCTTCCATGACTAGAAGATATTAAAGACATCTATACCTATAATTTGAAGTAAGCACATACCAAAATAAAACACACAGACATTTAAAA